CTCTATAGTCTCTAAATTGCTCTAAAGAAATTAACTAACAAATTCAAAGGATTTTTGGAACTGCTTTGGAAAACAATCAAAGATTTTTGAAATCTCAACAATTTTGGGATGCTTTTTTTTCGTCTATCATCATTTGGGTATAAGGTATCACACCCCCCAGATATACTTAATTAAGTTGGAATACGTTCAAGGAAGTTCTTTCTTGTCTACTTTATTTGAAAGTAATTTGAGCTAAGTGGCTGCTTTCAAACATAATTCTTGGTAGACAACATGATGTAAGTTTCTAGTATAATGTCCACGTGCGTAATATGAATGTTACAGCCCGTGTCAAATTCTTGAAAACCTATCATAAACAATGTTTCCACATTTTCCCGGAAAGTATGTTTTTCGCCGCCATGGCGTACTGTAAAAGGTACCAAATTGTGCCAAGCAGAGGATTTTTGTTAATTTGTAGGTACTATTTTGAAATGTCACCATCTATGAATTAAATATTCATTCTTCATGCATGTGCTTTCTTTCAATTGATATGTTGTTTTGTAATAACACCATAAATTTACTGGTATCAATTTTTTCGTCACGTAATCGTACTATTTGTATTAAATGCATAGCAACCGTATGGAGAAGAGAACATGAATATATCAGATGTTGGAGTACATTTTAATTAATTTATTAAATCATCAGATCACGAGTAGACTGAGCTAATTGATCCTTGACATGGAAAGATTTGTATCAAATTATATTTTTTCGGTAATATATTGTTGGCTTTTTAACGTTGATGACTAACAATCAACCTGAAATATCGACCCACCAAAATTTGAAAAAAAAATCCGTTTTATTTTGGAAACGGGATGACGACAATTTTATTGGCAGTATAAGTGTTTTCGGCCAGCAACAGTCGATACTGGCAAACTTGTAATTTTTTAAAATATCAAACATCTGATCAAGTGAACAGGTATTTTTAGGACAATAATATACCTGATGCTGTAACATTGTAATTCGATATAAATTATTGCATGCACAAGCTTGCCGGTAATTCGTTTATCGCATTTGTTAATTATTAATAATGAAAACTGACATTTAAAAGCATTTCTTTCGAAAACTCGCTAGGTACCTAGTAAAAAAATTGGCAATTTTATTTTTGTGTTATTATTCCGCTACTACGCCTTATTTTTTTAGTAAATTAAACAAATTCGCACCTGTGTACTAATAAATCCACCGGATGAAACGCCTACATTATTAGCATAAGATTATGACCTTTGCCCTAACCTAACCCAAACTAACTTTGGTTGTTCTATTTAACGTAACATAGAAATTCTATATTCAAAAAAAATATTATTTTGTCTATAATTTATTATATCTTATTGAATGAAATAACCAAAATTCAAATATGTAGCAGCTTTTCTGAACTGAATTTTATGGGTAAAATGCCAAGATTGTAATTAAGGTCATGGAACTTTACGGTTAATTTGAATTGTTTCATTGTATTTTGTGGTGAGGTTTTCGATTTTTCTATTGGGCAAAATTTCTTTTAATTTGAAAGGTTGTAAATAATTAGTTTGTGTTTTCCCTAATCCAGCAACCGATCTGCGTTAAATCCAATTTCGAAAATTGATTGTTACGAAATGATGTATTAAACATGTTTAGTATAAGGTTTCAGGAAGGATTTGGGTCATATTGGGTACGGCATTAACTGGGAAATTTCGGATTAGAAAAGGTTCCCAAATATTCTTGGAAGAATTATCGAAGTGTACAGAGAAATTATAGGGCAATATAATTTAATTTATTGGCCTGTCGGCTTCATCTAGACAGGAGCAAATTAGGAAACTCCTATGAATGGAATGTGCTTTTATGCCAAGGAAGATGAAGCAAAGAATTTCAAACAGGTTTGCCGGCATCTGTTTTTGCAATTAAATTTAGTAGGGTGTCAGCAAATGCGTTAGTCTCGGACTCTGTTATCTAACTTACTGGTTGAGCAAATAAATCTATTTCAGATGTACGTACATATGTATTTAGAACGCCAATGTAGTTCATTGCACTCTACCTATAGCCCGAATTTATAAATTATCCATGATTTATCACACAATTTACTCTTCTGCATTGTGCCAATTACATCGATTTATCTTTGTTTTTCAGCGGTACCTCCCAAAATATTTTAGAATTTATTCCGACATCGATACATTAAGTTTAATGCCTTTTTACACGCCAGTTTTAGCTTGAGGCTGAGCCAGTTCACTGGTGGCTTTTTTAAGAATGTTCCAACGAATTTTAACCCATTTACATATACATATATAAAAACGTTGATGTAAACGCCCATGTCTTGTAAAAATGTTTTTAGTTGTTATTTGGAAGCACGTAGATTAATTAATATGTGAATTTATTAGCATATACGGTAACGTATTTTGGAATTATCAAAAAATAAAATCCAGTATTTTTTAATTAGTATTAGTGCATTATTGAGGCAATTTTATATTGATTTAATTCCGCCCAAAACATTTTTTTCAATTCGGTTTATAATTAAACATAATTGTTAACCGCGCAAACAAATACTGAAACGTACCGTCCGAAATAAAATAATCAGCCAGGTCGAGCTGCTGAATCGGTTGCCATGAATGAAAATTAATGATTGGAAAACGAAATGTATGAAGGATAGGAAGTAGGGAAATCAAACTTCTTCATAAGCTAAACTGCCCGCACCAACCCAAATCCTTCAAGAGCTTTCTGGCGATGGCCAAGACAGGAGATTTCAATCGTGTGAATGAATTTATGATGCAAAAAATGGTTGGTGAACGTCGACTTGTAAAAAAACATTTGTTTTAGGGATGACTGTTCTTTTTATTTAAATGGCAATGTTAATAAACAAAAATGACATTATTTTACGCGATACTCTGAAATAGACCATAACTTATAGCGAAAAACTTAAATGGTCATAGCCTTTCGATATTCATGAAGTAGAAAACTAAACTAAAAATTCTAACTAAACTAAAAAAGACTAAAATATTCAAGAAAAATCCGGTTCAAATCGAGTTTACTATATTTTCAAAACAAGACGACGCACAGCCTCTTATTCATTATGTACTTCCAGAATGGCAATGGTTTGATGATAACTTTGCAAATAAATGGATTCGGAGATAATGCCCTTTGGGTGGCCTCCAAGCAAGGGCGGATCCAGGGGGGGGTCATGGGGGTCATGACCCCCCCCCTTGTGCTAGGTTTATAACGACTAACAATATTTTTTCTAATTTCATAGACAACAAAAGACTGAATTTCTACTACTTAACCTCCCCTGACTCGAAAGCTGGATCCGCCCTTGCCAAGATCTCCAAACCTAACTCTATTTGAATTTACCTAGAATATCTAAACTTTACAGAAGATTTCAAGACAGGCTCTATTATTGTCTGGAACATAATGGAAACAGTTTTGCTAAATTAATTAATTTAAATATTCCAATTGAAAAGCATTTTGAAAAGCATTTTGAAAAGATTTAAAAAGAACTATCACAAGTGGTGGGTTTTCAATTGGGATAGCTGGGAGATACACAATTGGTGCAGGTAGATTATTTCGTGCCTAAAATTGGATCCCTCTACTTATGAGTTATTAGATCAATGGTTCTGAAGCTTGTTTTTATGGTTTTTCGTTCCTCATAATTGTAAGTTTTCAATTTGCCACACTGTATATAATAATAAAGCTCAAATATGGGTTTACTGATTTGCAATATATTGCCACAGACTTCGGCGTTTAAAACGGGCAACTCTCATAAAATGTATATCCAAATCTAGACATAACATTGAATAATTGAAGAAATTAGCAAATGAAAACTATGAAATCATACCTTCGTTATGCTTTGAACAAGTTTAACAAACGTGCTTTTAATGTCAATCGAAATTCATCTACATATAATAGAAGACTTTTAAAGCGAGAAAATCCTTTATTTTAACATATAAGTATATTTAGATCTGTAGTTTTCTGCAAAATTGTATGCTTGCAAAGTTATTAAAACAATTAAATGTTGACTTAACGGGTCGGTTAACAACTAAGTTATGAGAATAAGTAACAGACGAAAGTTGTATTATTATTTTCTTTTTCTTGACTCAGTTTTTCCAATTGTACTTTCGTAGACTTTCGCCTTTAACTACATCTGCAATGTCTCCCACCCATCAAATTTTTCCAACGCAAACAAACAATTTTACTTTATGGTTTTCTGCATATTAGCACTTTAACTATTGACATTGCAATGACCGCACTCCGGAAAATTTGGCTAGCTATTTTGTATCACTTCAGTCGAAGGATATGATTTCCGGAAAAAAATTCGCACAAAACATCAAGTTTTTCTGTAGATGACTGCATCTATTCCTTCTGAGGAATCTTGCGTTTCACGAAACATTCAAATTGATTAATTTTTTGAAACATGGAAACATTTTCTGCACTCCGGAAATTTCGGCTAGTGATTTTCAATGACTTCAATCAAAGGATGTGATTTCCGGGAAAAAAAATCCCGCAAAATATCAGGTCTTTCCATAGATAACTGTATCTGTTCCTTCTGAGAACTCTTGTTTTCCGCGAAACATCCATATTAAATAATTTTTTGAAACATGTAAAGCGCGCTTTATAAACATCTAGTTTTATAACATAATACATATTCTTGTATTATTACTAGGGGATATTTGAGGTTGAACTAAATTTCATAAACGTACGCTTTTCGCAGACTTGTGCGCGTTGTTTTGCCACTGCCACAAATAAATACCAATTTGTTGACAAAATAATTCGCAAAAGATACGTATGGGGATCTTATTGAATGTTGAAACTGATGCTGGGACTAAAACATCGCACCTAATCTGATTAAGCTATCAAACAATAATTTTAATGCGTAAGTGAGTGTTCAGTATCACTGTTTTTCAACAGCATGTTATTGAGTGGAAAATAGTTTGCGGAAATAAGACGTTTAACTGTAAACACTTTTAATTTAAGAAAGTTTATAGCATTTTATTTTGTATTTAGTCGGAAAATTATTGCTACTATTTTAGCTGGAGGATGTCCTCTCCTTCACTTCGTTCCAAACTTTATTTCTTATTGTCCTTAATTATATTTTGCTTATTCTAAAATTGAACTATTGCAAAGATAAAAAGAAACATCTTTTTTTCGTCTAAAATGCAGCACAGATGTTATCTAGGAAATATTAATAGATGGGTATTCAATATCCATTTAACACAAACCGATTTGATTTGTCATTTGTTGGACAGCCAATCTGTATCGGTTCCTACCAGACAAAACAAAAGCCATATGTATATGTTTACCGAGGTGTTTTAAACTGATTATTTAATGTTGCAGATAAAAGGTATGCATGCCATGGATTTATTCAATTGCAGACCAAAGTCCAAAGTATTCGCAAATATATTATTTATTTCATTTTTCGAGAAAATAGGCTTAGTCAATTTTCCACCAGTATTTTTTTTATTTTGATAGGCATAAAATAAAAGGTGAAATTAATAATGATAAAATATAAGTGTTTAAAGTTCCAAGTGCAGGTGATAGCGATTTTTGATATTTTACTAGATTCGTTTGCTTGTTCATGATTATCACTTTATAAATGACTAACGTTTTTTTTCGATGAGCTTTTTGCTTGTTTTAGACTGAATGATGCTGGGATAATACAACAGAATGGAAACAATGCAATTCAGCAAGAATAATTTGTTTTATTTTTGGAGCTTAATGTGCATTTCGAATAAATTTGATTTTAATGGATATAATTGGGCGGCTAAAACTCAACAAAATAATAAATCGTTTTGATTGGCAAATTTCCTGTAGTAAAGAAAATGCATGCTTTAATCGTAAGATTGGATGCAAGTTCACTTTGATGCATTATCCGGAAAATGAAAGTTATATAATACCAGAACGACCTAGTTGTTGCAGAGGTTGTTTTAAATTGTTCGGAATATCAATGCAGTTGCCAGCAATTGTTTCTATCAATCAACCGAATCCGCGACATTTGTTTAACCTCGCGTGAGAATCAAGTTCATTATGTTGCTGGGGCTATTTGAACCACTTGTGTTAGTTGTTACATCATTATCCATCTACTGCAATAAGCGGTACTGCAAAAAGAGACTTAAGAGTCTGCAAGTTCAGAAGTGGTAGGGTAGCTTTCTTCTTGGCGTACGTGATATTTAACGCGTAGCCTCTCTGACGATAGCCTGTTTAATAAGGTTGCAAATCAATGCCAATACTCGCATCAGTAACCTCGTTATCAATGTATGAAATTTTAAGTTTATATCATTACTCACGACAATAGTATAGATATTTTATGAGGAGCCGGCGCCAGCTCGTCTAGCAGATTAGCGTCATTTATTGGGATCATCCAGCAACCTCCAACATCAACATCTTACTCGTACCACTCGTATTGATTTAAGAGAAAACAGCATCACCGTACTGTCCATTCATAAAACAAACTTGTCCGAAGTCTGGTGGGGCAATGAAGTGATTTTTTCCCATTAGTGGTACCAAAACAGTTCAATGCTGTTCAGTTCACCACACCAGAACCAAAGCAATATTTTTGAGACGGTCATGTCGACTATTACTGACATGATCATTCATTTCAATATTCTAGACAAAATCACAGATATCAATACAGATACATTGCCAAGAAGCATCTGCTATTCCTCCTCTCTTCTCTAATTCGAGCAGAAGTAATTGGTACTAGACATATACATTTTGTAATTGTACCTAAATCATTGTGTAACAGCCAATGCAATAAACTTGAAAATCATTGAAATAGCTATTTCCTGCAACAGAATTTTCGAATGGCTACTTTGCTATGATATTTATATATTTCTCAACTTTGATAATTGTCATTAGCATTTTTTCTTTGTTTGTTTTAGTGATATTCCTACTGATTTGAGTGCTAATATAGCAAATATTATTATGCTAGTTTTTATCTTTTTTTACTGCAAAGTCTCACAATTTCATTTCATACAGTTCATTGCAGTGCAACTTTGAAATAAAGCAAGATTATTTTAATGATATCTGGAGTATATTCTTTTTGCGTTCCTTTCCAGAAAATAATCTCTTGTATTTTATGTGTTTAGTAATAGGATTTCGAATGCGACGGCGTTGTTGAGTTGTACAGCGACCCACTGTATTAAATTTTAATTCAAAACCACCACTATTCAGTTATTAGAGCCTTGGGAAGAATAAACAAAAATAAGTTGATCAAGGTATCTGAGCCAAAAATACCATTAGTTAATAATGAATGGCCGAAAACGTTATTTAAAAAAATTTTTTTATATATAAATAATCTTTATTTCCTACAGAAAAAGGCTATCGACCCGATCGGTCTTTCTGCCCAAAAAATATTAATTTATTTAAAAATTACAAAGGTGACTACCATTTCGTGGTTATAAGCTAATAGATTTATAGTAGATAATAGAGCCAGCCCTTGGGGTGACATAACTCAAACTCAAAGAGAAAAACAGTGATTAAAAATGTTGTTAATTTTTGCGAATATTTCCATAATTACCCGGTTCTTTTGCACTGCAATTCTACCAAAGCTTAATCGAAGACAATAAATCAGTTCTGTATAATAGAATGTATTGCTTTATTATTTAGTAATAAGCCAATTTTCATACTGACATCATTTTTCAGTTCAAAGTTGATCAATGCAAGAGCCACTCCAAAGTCTGTTCTAATCAATAAGTATAATCAACAGCTTTATTAAATCGTTGACTAATATTTGATTGCTCATTACTTCTGAAAATTGTAAATTAACGGTCATTGCCGCCTTCAGTCAATTTATGAAAATGAATGCAATTTGCCATGTATCTTTTGTATGGTGATAATTGAAAAAAAACAGCACTATTTATCTATAGTAAGTAAACGCTCTTGCATTTAGACGATTTACTTTAAACAACGCTAATTCAAATTGTATTCGACATTTTAAACTTGATTATGATTATTTATGTTTTTACTTTCATTTTTTTGCATTTCTAAATTTATAGATATACAGGGTGTCAATTTGAATACTTCCCACCCTTAATATCTTTCTTGTAGTAGAAAATATGAAAAATCGGAAAGACCCTCCCATTTTATTTGTAAGGCGAACACTTTAAATGAATATTTTTAGCCCCCTTGTTTCAATGCCCTAGGACGGGTAGATGTCACCCTGAGAATTTTAAATGGAAAGGGGGATCAAGGGGCATATCGTTTTAAAGGGCGATCAATTATTTTTACATTAGTTATTACGTGGTTGCTTTTTGTCCAGAGGTTTCCGAATAATCGCGTTTCAAAATTGTAGAAACAATTAAACTTGCGTACATTCAGATATTGGTTTTCATGTTAGTGTTTACACAAAAGCAATTGTATTCGGTCTTTTTGTAATACAAATGATTTGAAGAGTAGGTTACACTGTTAAAATCGTTGAATAACAGGAAAAAAATCTAGTTTAAACATTGATTTCTTATTTTTTATTTTGATCTTATTTCTCATTTATTGATTATTTTACATCGACAAAAATAACTTTAATTGCGGAAGAGAAATTTGTACAATAAAACCTATGTCATCTACTTCCGCACTATCTTATAAGTTGTTCAAGTGTTGTCAATTATCCTGTAAACAATAATAAGATCTGTTTTTGATCTCTTTCCTATTGTTTAGGAAAACTTCACCGGGAATTGACCCGCATTCTGCAGCAATTCGCCTTTTAAGATCATCAATATCAGTAGGTGGTGTTTTACAAACAATGCACTTAAGATGTCCCCAAAGAAAGAGGTCTAGGGGTGTTCAATCCGGTGATCTTGGAGGCAATTCAATGGCAGAAGGAGACACTCCTTCTGCCAATCGATCTATTCGCGAATATCTGTTAGGGAGGGTTCGAAAATAGACTTAATTATTGTTTACAGGAAAATAGACAACATTTTGAACAACTTATAAGATAATGCCTAAGTAGATCCAATGGAATTTATTGTAGAAATTTCTTTTCCGTAAATAAAAAGTGATTTTTTTCGAAGTAAAATAATCAATCAATCGAAATAAATTGTTTAAACTAGGTTTTCTTCCTGTTATTCACCAATTTTAACGGTGTAACCCGATATTCTAATCATTTGTACCATAAGGAGACCCAATTACATAATTCTTGTTTAAACGCTAATCTGAAACGCAAAATCTCAATGCAGGCAAGTTTAATTGTTTCTGTAGCTTTGAAACGCGATTATTCGAAAACCTCTGGACAAAAAGCAGCAAAATAGTAACTAACGTAAAGATAATTAAACGCCCTTTAAAACAATGTGCCACTTGACCGCCTTCCCACTTAAGATTCTAAGGGTGACATCCACCCGTCTTAGGGGGCCGAAACAAGGAGGCTAAAAATATTCATTTAAAGTGCCCCCCTTACAAATAAAATTGACGGGTCTTTCCGATTTTTCATATTTTCAACTGCAAGAAAGATATTAAGGGTGGAAAGTTTTCAAATCGACACCAGGTGTTGAAGGATATTAAATCTTACCATTTTCTAACACAACTTTCTCTAACATTTTTTCAGTCCGCAGAAGTCGTTTCCTACAGCTAAAAAACTTTTCTAATAAAACATGTTTTTAGTTAAATTTTACAATAACCGCCTTGTTCATTTGTAATTTTACGTGCTAAACGAAACATTAAATGCAAATCTAATTAGCTACGGATCCTATGGTTACGTGGTTTCTCGTTAGTCAAAAACATAAAATATGTAACCAAATGACCTGTGAGGCGATAATCTGAAAACATTAGTCTGTGGATTATTTAACACATTGTCAGGGGCATTCATAGTAAATATCGAACTAAAAAATCTTTATTTTGCTTGTCTCAGCATTATTATTGCAAGGTTTTTATGAACTGTTAAGTAACGGCTTTGCGAAGTGGATTTTTAACTTATCTCTTTTACAATGAATTTAATTGGTATCTATTAGTAAATAAGATTTTAATTTTTAACGGGTGTTCTTAAATAGGGAAGGAAAATTTCCGTAATCTGAATTTTTAGATGAAAAAAGATGTACAATGGTTTTTCGATTGTTTAGGATGATTACTTAACAATCTGGAAGTACAATTTTCGACCACTTCCAAACTTCTACCAGACCATAAAGCACAAAAACTGCGTTTTTTATGAATAGAAGGGCTTCTGGATTTTCGTACCTCCAAATCCTACAATTTTGTTTATTCTTGCAACCATTTAGCCCAAAATGATTGTCGGGCATGAAATGAACAAAGCGGACGGTGAATTTGGCGAACTGAACCGCGATTTTAGAAATAAATTTCCGAATTTGGAGCGACAAAAAGCCAAAATCCGGAAGCCCTTATTGAGACGACGTTATATCCAGATAACTCACTGTCTGATGTCCTTTTTTTATGGTCTAATATAAAGTGACCATACGTCCCGATTTTGGCGGGACAGTCCCGCTTTTTGGTGGACTCTCCCGCGTCTCGCCGATTTATGAAAGTGTCCCGCTTTTTAGAAATTTTCTACGTTTCTTATTTTAAATGTCCTATGAAATTAAATTAACATTTGAACAGTTGAACATTAAAACTTTAAAATCTGTATCAAGTGTAAAATATAATTTGACCAATTCATGTCAACTGTGCCTGAAATATTTCACATTTTAATAAATGATCCTAATCTATTGCAAAGTACTCACTCGGATCAAAAATATGACCGTCAAATAAGATCATAATTTTTTAAATAAAAAAATTAATTTGGTTAAAAATCATGAATTATATTTTTTTACAAATTTTTTTATAGTTACCAATAATTAATAATAAATACATGTTTATGGAAGGATATGAATATATACAATAAAAAATATGATATTCCTATCCTTCCTGGGTTTCAGTCAAAGTGTGAAGTAAACATTTTTGAAACATCGTTTATTTCATTACGTTTCGGCGAGACAACAACGCCATCATCAGATTTAAAATTTTACACAAACTACAAACACCAATTCGCAATTAAAACATGTTGTATAAAATTTATAGTTGAAGTTAAGTACCATGATCTTAACATTAATTTTATTACTTTTATTTCAGTTTAAAGTTCTCTACCCTAAAAAAAACACCCTTTACATATGACATAATTTACCTAATATTTAAACCTATCAGCAAAATGGTTATAAATTAATTTCTTCCGAAACCACCACGGTAAAAACTTTTATGAAATAGTAGTCGGTTGAATACATAATAATCAAAAGATTATCTTTCAGGTCAAAGGGATTCTTTCTGGTTTTCAGATGTGACTATAGGTAGGGGTAAAGCTCGTTGTATTCGAAACCCTTATCAAACTCTGTAATATGTGGAGAACTTAAATGGGGGTATGAAAGGAATAGTAATGGGGGAAATGAAGGTCATTGTTCGAAGACAAATAGGGCATCTACGTCCACAGCATCACGTTTCACATCAATTTGCACCCTTACAGAATAATTGCTAGAAATAGTGGATTCATCCACCATGTAAGTGGTTGAAAAAGAACGAGCGGTTTAAAAGATCAAGATTTTATCAACATTCTCGCTTATAAAATGCGCTATAGATGTGTTTAAATTGAATAAAAAATATCTAAAAAAAAATTAAATTTTTTTTTTCAGTTTTTGAACATTAAAGAATCTTAACGCCGTAAACAAACAAACAGTGATATGAAATGAAACATGTTACGAAAATGTATTTTCTAATCTAATAAAGTGGTAGCATTCTTCACAAAAATATGGACGAACAGTTGCTTTAACTTTGCGTTCTAGGTTTTAAACGGGTATCGTAATATCCGATAGAAATGAGTTGAATAAATCTTGAAAAAAACTGTATATTTTTAAGACATTTTTATAATCATTCTATTTGAAATTTGTTGCATGTTCCTTATTGAGTTAAAAAATCTATGAAAAAACGTTCACCAGTCACACTTAGTACGGCGTACAACTTGACTAAATGGCGAAAAACTATTATTAGAGGAAGTAAACTTGTTATAGTCTGTGTTATAGTTTGATAATCTGTGGTCTGTACGCTATAACTTTGGTCGCACGTCATCAGTGGCGAAATTTGACTACCAACATAAAAACAATTATGTTTTGGAACTTTAGAAAACTACCTAAGCGATATTGATTATTTCTGTTCATCTTTAAAATTATTAGGTTGGTGACAATTACAATGCTGCCGAATCGTTTGTTGCATTAGTCATGTCCATGACTTTTCCGTTGACGGTATATTTGTGCTTTTCAAAATAATCATTATTCCATAAAGAATAATCACCAGAAGCGAGACAGCATTGAGATAATTTACCACTGGTTCGAGAATTTATGGCGTGTATGGCAACAACGCTCGACGAGATCAGAATTTAGTCTGCTAAAGTTTTTTCGTTAATTTTATGGGCGATCAAATAATATTTTCTCAATGAAATTGCTAAATATCAAGTGAATTTGAGTTAAAAAACTAACAAACTCAGGATTAACTTTCTTTGGAAAATTGTTAGACATGCAATTGGACATTATACATTTTTTCAAAGATATAAATAATATTCATAAACATAAATACGTATATCTCACATTCGCATTTTCTCTTGACTGGTATCAGTTGAGCCAACCTATATGACATACATACTTCGCAGAAACTACTGGGCAATACACCTCTCTTCTCTGTCCATCAGGTACGTTAAAGGAGTATTGAATGATACTCATTTAATAAAGACCGCTGTTAACCTTAAAACTGAACGATTCCTGTGCTGTCATGAAATCACCATAATAAAAATAAAAGTAACTAGTTATAGTTTGGCGGAACAGGCTATTTGCTATGTACCAGAAAATCCTATTAAAATTTTTATTCATTTTATGATAACAACAGAAGTGTATACCCTATAGCGACTGCCAGGTGTATATCACGCTTTCTTCGGGTGATTGTGTTGTGATAATTTATAAACAATGGCTGAAAAACTAAAGGTTAGTGAGCATTTCGGCATTTACCGAGCATTGTATTGACTTGATCTTGTAAACAGAGCATCCCAGAGCAAAAGCTAAAGGCTTTCTCAATTGGCACTATGGGGAAAAGAGGCCTATCCAAACGAGAACTCGAAGAACAGCGAAAACGAGAGGAAGAAAGAGCTGCAGCTCATGTATGTTACTTTATTGCTATCTTTTTGGTTACCTTGCTTTATCATCAATTTATGTAATGTGGTCTTTATTAATATATAATCCTCTTTGCAGGTATTTCAAGAATTTGTGGAAACATTTCAAGAAGCCCCGTTAAATGGTAGTAGTAAAGTGTGGGTAAAAGCTGGTACTTATGACGCTGGTGCTAGAAGTAAGTGAATGTTTAACAATCGGGGCTGGTTTTTGGCAATTTACTCCAAAATCATGGTTACAGAGGAAGATACCAAGGATAAAGGCAAACTGTATAAACCGACCTCAAAAATTCAACCCAAAGAAGAAGCAATGACGTCTGCTGAAAGAGCACAAGCCTGTGCAAAGTTACTCAGTTCCGATAGAAAACCTGATAGATTAGGGAAAATGAGGAAAGGAGGGAAAAGCAATTTAGAAGCCTTCATGGAAGAATTGAAGCAGTAAGTAGATATAGATGATTTATCACGAAAGTATAGTCTGTCCCTAGCTTTTGGCAGCCACGCAATAATTGTCGTTTTTCTCATCATCACATCAATTTCTCATATATTTTCTTTTGTGTGTGTATTATTTGCTCTTTTTAAGCACCGAAAATTCTTCTATTTAATATAGGAAGAGGGAACAACGGCTCATTTTGCTCATAATTTCGTCACTATTCTTTAGACCTTGAATGAGTTCCACATGTTTATCTTTTACTTCCTTCATGTGATTGCAAGTTTACCATTAGGAAAATAACACACAGTCACAGTTAACGCCAAATAGTGTACGTACATTGGAGGCAAATTAATAGCGAAACTGAAAAAGTGATTTATTTTTCCAATATGTTATTATTACAGATACAACATCCAACAAAGATCCAAGAAAAGAAACACGTATTCATGCAAGATACTTGTTTCTCAAGAACAGTTGTACTCAAGTAGCTTAACGTTATTTTAATCACACGTCTCTGTTAAATATCGACACAATTTTGCGACAACTAACTTAGATCTTAATATTTTTCTAATCAAAATATTGGGTCAATTTCCACAAAATCTGGGCGGATTTCGTTATCTTTATTAAGCTCAAGCATGTTTCTTGAGAAAAATTAACTGACTGTTCAGGCTCGCATAGAAGCGTCAGTAAACCTGTCCACGTAGCACGAAATTTCATTCATCTATGAATCTCTTTGGGACAGATCATGTCATACCGCACATATTACCGCGTCCAGACCTCATGCCGCGTCAAGCTCGACCGATTTTCCATACAGCTCTGAAGACCATGTACTTCGACGTGGTCTCCATTTTTACAATTTACAAGTAATTGTAAACTGTAATAGTTAACACATAAATTTATATGAGGTTGGAACAGCACCCGTATAGATAGATACAAAATACTCACTCAAATGGTTTCACATTCGAGTGATTTGCAAAGTATACAAAGTTCAAATTTTAGTGGCAATGTTAACAAATATTTGTCAATTTTTGTGAAACTCTATCTGATCGTATTTTTACAACCGTTTCGTCTATAGCAAACGATATACACTTAAAATACTATTGAATGTTGACCATTCTTCAAGTTGTAATCATATATCTATAAATATTCTTCTCGTTCGATCGTTCTAGGATCCAAGAAGAAAGGGAAGAAAGGCATAAATATAAGGCACATATTAAGACTCCAATTGAAAATGAACTGGATATGTTTATGCGTGGAGATATAGGATCATTTGATAACGGCGATCCAAATACCACGAATATTTATTTAGGAAATTTGAATCCAAAAGTAGGTTTGTAGTGGATGTGTGGTAATTTTTATTACGCGAATGTCCTAGTAGTAATAGTATTGTGTGTATTGCCCGATGGGCGCGGCGAGTCCTAAGAAACATTTTTTCCATATGTATTCGTAAGCTCTGATGTAAAACAGGCAAACAGCTAAGACTTAAATGTATATTTTCTTAGCTGACTGAACCTCAACTGATGGAAATATTTGGGAGATATGGACCTTTGGCTAGTATCAAAATTATGTGGCCTAGATCGGATGAAGAAAAGGCTCGAGGAAGAAACTGTGGTTTTGTAGCCTATATGGCTCGCAAAGATGGCGAAAGGGCTTTGAGAAATTTGAATGGAAAAGATGTTTTTGGATACGAAATGAAACTTGGTTGGGGAAAAGCTGTTATTATACCTCCGCATCCCATTTATATTCCGCCAGTCCTGATGGAAGTTAGCCAACCGCCTCCCCCATCAGGTTCAGTTTTTACAGACGTTTCTTAAGAGCTTTTAACATTATCTTTGATCCTTAGGTCTACCATTTAACGCACAACCATCGTCAGAAGATCGCGACATATTACCTAAATCAGATGAAGAACTCGAAGCAATATTAAGAAGAGCTATTGTCAAAGTTGTTATACCTAATGATAAAAACCTGATAATGCTCATTCATAGAATGGTAGAGTTTGTAGTCAGAGAGGGGCCGATGTTCGAAGCGATGATTATGAATAGAGAGCTACACAATCCCCAATTTAGGTAACTTGCTTGCCAACTTAAGGTCCACTGGTCACACACATATATTTTTGTTCATTTCAGATTTCTATTTGAAAATCAAAGTCCTGCTCACATTTACTACAGATGGAAAGTATTTTCGGTATTGCATGGAGACGCTCAGAAGGACTGGAAAACGAAAGAATTTCGCATGTTTCAGGGTTAGCATATTTTTCTATCGTAAAGCTTTAAGTTGTACTTTATATTATTTATTATCAGGTGGATCAATTTGGAGACCCCCAGTAATGCACTCTTATACAGCGGGAATGCCAGATGATTTAGTACTAGATGATGACATTCTGAAGGACTCTTCTAAAGGAGCGTTGTCAAAGGGGTAAGTTAAATATGTACCCATTCTCCCATTAAATTTGTTTAACTGAGTCTACACTCACGGTAATATGTTCTCACCATACAAACTAGTTTTCTACTGAAATTGCTTCCAATGCTAACAATAGTTTACATGTAATTTAGCCAAAGAGATAGGCTGGAGGATTTGCTGCGTAACTTAACTCCCGAGAAAAAAAGGATCGGAGAATTAATGGTCTACTGCATAGATCATTCAGAAGCTGCTGAAGAAATTGGAGAATGCATAACCGAGTCACTTTCGAATGACAGCACTTTAATCACCAAGAGAATATCTCGACTTTACCTCGTGTCGGATATTTTGAACAATTGTGGAGTTAAAGTGAACAAAGCGTCAAATTATCGAAAGGTGTTCCAAAATAAACTTATCGAAATAATCAAGGCAATCAAGTTGGCTTTTGATTGTCTGGAAAGTAGAATTCAAGCAGAAGGCTTTAAAGTACGAGTGCTGAGAGTACTGAAATCTTGGGAGGACACTGGAATTTATACATCAGACTTTATGACCAAGCTGCATAATATATTTTTGGGACTAGAGGAGGTAAGTTTATGGAAATAACTGCTTACGAATACTACAGCAACTGTTTAGATCGAGCATATTCCCGAAAAGGAAGAGGATATTGATGGAAATCCTCTTGATAAAACCTCGGATGACGAGGATCCCGTAGATGGTGCTGCTCTTTTGAAAAGTGCAATGAGTCACTACAATAGTTCACCGGAAGACGAAGAAGATATAGACGGTGAGCACTCACTGTTGTTGAATTGAGATGTTAAGTCTATCATTGTTACCAATTTTTAGGGGAAGAAATAAAGGATGATTCGTTAATTGATACAAAGTCCCTGGCGACTGCTGGCTTCATTAAGTCAAAGTGGGAAACTGTGGATCCAGATCAAATTGAGGCACAAGCTATGACAACCAGTAAATGGGATTTGTTGGAAGCCAGTCAAGATAATAGTCAAAATAGTAGTTCAAATGCTAACGACCAAGATTCATCTGTCGATTATTCTGATACTAGGTAATACAGTTAATGATCTATTAATAAAACATTAAACTTTTTGGCCAGTTCGGAATAAATCTATATATCAATGTTACGTTCTTCAGAAATATGTCTGAAGAAAAACGACTGAAGCTTAGGGAAATTGAAGTGAAAGCAGTTCAATATCAAGACGAATTAGAATCCGGACAACGGACATTGAAAAGTGGGTGGACAGTGACACAACAAGTGGAACATTATCGTCGAAAGTTGCTGCGGAAGTCTGAAAAGGAATCTAAGAAAGACGGAAAAGGGGACAAAACACCGAAATCAGAAAAACATAAAAAGGACTATGAGAAAAGTGAACGAATAGGAGAGGACATATCTGATGACGAATTCTACAAGGAACAGTAAGTAGACTGTGATAAAAAAATTCTATTGAAATATGCAGCATTTCACCAAAGAAAAAATAGTTCCCACAGTGATACTTTTTGTTGATTGTTATTGTTTTCCGTTTCTGTTTGTTACATTTATGGTTGGTTATCTGCGACATTCACTCACCTATTTTTACAAAACATTTGATTCTGGTTATAAATGGCAATTGAGATAATAAGTTTTATTTGCTCTTGTAGTTATTTATATTAAGCTCATGATTTACTGATTTTTATAGTACCTCTAGAAAAAGTAAAAAACATGCTCGCAGCTCATCAAGTGGTTCTACATCGAGACACAGGTAACCTTCTAGATTAAGTAATATTTTTCAATTAGATTCTCACGTTTTCTATTCGCTCTGACATGTAAGTGAAGAATGCGCCAAATTTTAAATACAAGTGCAGCGGTTTTTCTTTGAACGTCAAACTATTGTGTCTGAAAGTTTGGTTATTCAGTTTTGGTTTATTATTATCAGTCTAGATTTTGTGACCCTCTGTTGCATAAAGCGATACTTGATTCAAAAAGATTAAAGTATCGAAATGAAACTGCAAAAGCGCAGCGAATATATTTTTCAAGTTTTATAATGCCATTTCTACTTTCCCTTTCTCAAGCTAAGCTCGTTTGCAACGCAAGCGAGACGAGCTCGAGAATATCTGGTGTGAATGTTTTTGGTGATCGGCTACCATTCTATACATCGTTTAAAATCGAAGTAAATGTGCAAATTAAATTCTTCGTGAGTGAGATAAAGGCAATGAACCATCGTAGACTGGTTTTTCCAGGGGCCCTACGAAAATACTGAAAAAAACGCATCTTCTTCATTAAGTAAACTTTTAATAAAGTTTGTAATTGACCGTCTGCTGGTCAGATGGTTAGTGAACAGACACCAACATTTGCGAGCGGTGTTTTTTTGAACCTCTTCAAAAAGAAGACCTTGAGTGAAACTTATTTATTTAGCTAAACAAATTGCAGCTTACGACAATGCGAGCAGAGCGCAATTCATGTGCAATTGGTTTTTTGTCCTGGCGCGTTTATACCTGACGCGAAGCAAGCGCGATACAACCGCGACAGCAACGCGCCTCGTCAGGGTATTTCAGAAGAGATCAAAGGAAATCGTGGCACATTTCCTGTGATCTGCCATCAAAAACTCGATTGTGGATGGATCGCGACGATCTTCCAGAGCACCTTCTGTGTCTCTTCCGTGGGCTAATCCCCGCATCGCGAACGATTTTTGTTCTTTAACATATCACAAAATTTAAGCGACGTTAGTAAACTGGTAGTTCACTCAAATAGTACTGCAGAAACTGGCTAGCAAAGCATTATGGTATTCGACTTCTCATATTAAAATGTTATGTAGATAATAATAAACCAAAAATTATTCTTAATATATTTCGATTTATAATGTTTAAATACAAATAGTGCTTACTTGCATTTAGAATTTTATATGGACTGAACACGTGGCATAAATTTGTTTCGCAATTTCCAACTGGCGTTGTTCAATGGTGGAGAATCTGTTCTTATCGGTGTTTTTATTCAGTAAAAAAATCAGTTTGCTTTATCTGGTAATTCTAAAGGTTGGCTAATAATTAAAAGCGACGATTTTCCAATAGTTGCAGTATTTAAAATTAAAAAGAACAATTTACCTGTGTCACCATTATCAAAGGCAATTTTAACATTTCATTGAATTATGTCTGGTTATCTTGTCATCGGAGATTTTTTTCGCTAAAAATAAATTTGGTACAAAAGATATTATGACCATTTTCTACCAAAACAAAATAGGTCAAAAAGCCGGACTCCTTCGAAGAAACGAACTTCAAGGCTGGGAAATTCCCCTAGTCCCTCTCGTTCCCGTCGTCAATCACCTCCATCTTCTCGTTCCTCTCGTAGACGTCGAGATTCCAACTCTCCTATAAGTTCCACAAGCAAATATTCCCCTCCACATAGTACAAGTCGACATAGGTATTCTCCATCTCCCGTCCGAATCGCCAAACATGGCAGAGGCAAGTCACCGTCCCCGAAGAGAAGAAGTAGAAGCACATCTAGGACGAGATACTATTCGCCGGACTCTACTAGTAGTAATGCAAGAAAACACAGACACAAGCATAAGTATTAGCTGTAAAATTAATTTAGAAAACATTTTCAAACACAACTTGAAACAGATTTTAAGACCTATTATTTGAAAGATTTTTCAATCGGTTTGTTCTGTTATGTAAGAATTAGTGCTTACTTATTAACAAAGAACATTTGAAAAAAATTATGTGATGCGTAATTTAATCGATCGAAGTAATTTAACGATCGTAATTAGTAATATCCGTTGAAGCTGAACTAACAGTTAAAATCAGTATCAACGGATATTGTCTTTTAGTACTCTGTTATGATTTTTAGTAATTTAGAGAACATGCAATTATGATTTTTAACCATTTTACATCTAAATCAAGTTTTCATTGGTTTTTTGTCTGTATGTTCTTTTTACATTTACTGTCACAATCGCTAGTTTTATTTAATGAGCAAGAACACATTGCAGGTATTTTGTTGCATAAAAAAATAATTAATTAGGAACAAATACTGAATCTTTATTACTGCATTATATAATTTTTGCTGTACTTTCTACATTACGTGTAAGCGAATTTGGGAATTGAGAAATACTTAGTAATGTATTAAATTGCATCTGATGTATTGTCTTAATTTGCGACAAACCGCATCAAAAGCCACTAAAATTTTATTTGTTCACAATGTTACAAAGAAAATGTTGCTTTGTATATATAGGGGTTTAAGTAAGCATTAGCTTTTAACTATCTTAGATCATCTGGTTCCCACTTTGTTAATAAAAATGATTTTGAATTACACACCAAGGCTTTATAATCCCAACAATTCGCATCCTAGCATTCGGCAGAACAAAATCGTTCTCTACTGAAATTGCTTCCAATTTGATATATGAGAAAAAATTGCATATAAACTGTAGTAGTTATGGAAATTTTGCGTTTAACATTTTCTTCCTTAAATCGAGATCGGATGAAGGAATCGCAATCCGGTTTTAGCGAAAAATAATGCTATTTGCATGGCACAGTGATGTCAGTTATTTTTTTGTCCCTCTATGGAAAATTTGCGTTTAACGTTTTTTTTTAAATTTAAATGGTCGGATAAAAAATCGCGTTGCGGTTCACACGAAAATTCTCTTTTTTAACTCAAGAACTGATGATTAGATTGCAATGCGGTTTTTGAAAAAAAAGTGAATTTCAATCAGTTTCTTCTTTAAATCGAGAACGATGCAATTCGGTTTTTGGAAAAATGTTGAAAATTTCAATCATATAGCGATTCAATTTGTCTTCCACTGGATGCGTTTAACATTTGCTTCTTTAAATCGCAATTTGTCTCCCACTATATGGTAACTTCCTGTTTTTCCTTCTTTACATCACAATACTTTGCAATGCGTTTTTTTTTAATGCAGTAGTTTAATGCGTTTAATGCTAACTTTAAGGCAGTTCCCATCGCAAAGTCATGTCAACTCTTTCTCCGGCTATGGAAAATTTGCGTTTGGCATTTTTTGCTTCAAATCGATATTCTATGAAGAAATCGCAATGCGGTTTTCACGAAAATTAATGCGATTTCCATTACAAAGCGATGTAAATTCTTTCTCCCTCTATGGGAAATTTGCGTTTAAGGTTTTCTTCTTTAAATGAAAGTCGGATAAAGAAATCGCATTGCGGTTTTTACGAAAATTAAGGCAATTCACATCGGAAAACGCAGTCAATTCTTTCTCCCGCCATGGAACATTTGCTTTTAACATTTTCTTCTTTACGTCGAGAGGGGATGAAAAAATCGTTTTGCGATTTTCGCTAGAATTAAGGCATATTCGATGGCACCGCTATGGGATTTGCTTTTTTCGCGATGGCAACTTGATACATATAAAATTGCCTTCTTTAAGTTAAGAGCTGATGATCAGAATGCGGTTTTCAAACAGAAACAAAAAACTGACAAAAAAAGTTGTCAGACTGGAGTTGCTAGTCGTTTCGCCCAATCAAATGATGCGTGCAATACAATGGTAGCAGAAGTAAGTAGTAAAGTCTCACAGAGGGCAGTCAGTTGTATAACTAATTAATAAAGTTGAGCAATAATAATTCACTACATGTGGGTTTTTCACAGCGATTAATAAATAACAATCACAAACTGTGACAAACCTAAAAATAAAGTGTGAGCTGAAACGTTATATTAAAGAGCGACTTACATTTGCACTGCTAATGCTACTATTGCGAGTTGTGTGTACTGATCATATGTCGCACATGTGGCCCGGCGAAAGAACGAACCCAATAAAATTATTTTGTTCGTCAATGAAAGCTTGCATTCACCAGTTTGCTTAAGCCTGGGTTTCATTGATATTTTTGGGAATCGTATTTCAGGATGCACCATTCAATATTCATTAGCCGTATTTTGATTTTGTATCGGTAACATGTTTGTGTATTTTTTAAATAATTTTCTGGAAATACTCTTAGTGTTTCTGTTTTGTTCATTTTTTCGAATTGAATTTGTTTATTACGTATTGTGCTAAGCAACGGAAAATTAATTTCTCGTGGAATTTCTTTACTTATAAAACAAGTACGTTGAATTTGAAACGCCACATGGAATGCAACATCCCACAATATGAATAAATTCTGAAAATGTTCGCGAAGAGTAGCGAAGTAATATTTTTGTACCTATTTTCACTTAAATAAAGTTTATTTTCAGATCAAATATAGCTTGTTCACGAATAGTTAAGAGGTACATACGCTATTCGTTCAGGGTAAAACAATAGTTTTTTGTTCCTATATTAATTTTTTTGTAGAATGTTTTTAGAACTTTTAGAGTACATGCGTTTAAAACTGTGTAGCCAGTTGCTAGTAGCAGAGGCTGATATTTTTTAGTGTTCTTAAAATCATTTGTACTTTAAATAAGGTTATTTATTTAAAAAATATGCGAATGTTTTAAAATTGTTTCTGCAAGTGACGCACAATTGCCCATCACCTTATGACGCTATTAATTATATTGCGAAAACGGAAATCACATTCACAGTTATAACGGTTATTTTTAAATCACATTTTAGCTCATCTCTAGTACAACATACTACATACAAGTAGTAATATCGAGTCACTGTATAAATAATGTGAAGTACAGCAACACTTCAGCTCGGATTTACGACAGTCTCATACTCTTTGGAACTTTAAGTTTTTAGGTTTAACAGTTTGCAAACGAAGAATCTTTCTGCCGGTATAAATGGGAACGAATTAATTTCAACATTTATGTATTTGAGTACGGCGTTGTATTGTTGCAACACACAGTTACTTTAAAGACGACAGAAGCACATTGAATACAAAATTAAAAAAATATATTTCATTGGCACCACCTCATCCACATATATAATATCTAAATAAATGCAGTCTAAGTAGCAACAGTAGCATTGCCGTAACCAAAGCTGCCTGCATGATCTTCCTAGCCTTGCGATCTACTTGAACTACTTGCTGAAGCTGATGATGCAGAAAAACCAAGTCCACTGAAGCTATGGCTTTGAGCACGTGCATCAGCTTGACTTCCACCAACACCACCTGGAAGAGGACATCATTTTATTAGTTGACAGTTAAAGGACATTTTTTAAATGTATTTACCTCCAAGTGCTGGTCCGCCTAGTAGAAATGGCCCTCTAATACCTCCTGATTCCGCAGAAGCAGTGGCACTGGCGAGAGCTTGCACTAAACATACACAAAAAATCATTAAATTATGCCACATTGATTCAATATAGAGAAAATAATATATGTACCTGCGCCAAGTACAGGTCCGTCCGTTAGCAATGGAATTGCTCTCGCTACTCTTGAGATTGCATCCGCGTGGGCTTGTGCCAATCCTCCTACAATAGAAAAAATTAAATACATTTTATTGAAATGGGCTACAACAATTAGATGTCGAAACCTCCAGTTCCCCAGGAGAATCACTGGCATCAGCATTACTTTGCGCTTTAGGGGTAAAAGAGTTCATTAAAAATAAAATTGAATATATATTTACCTACGAAAGGTCCGCCTGTTAGGAATGGATAGCCTCCAATCCCTCTTGTTCCAGCAGAAGCACTGGCATCAGCGTTGGCATGTGCTAAACATCCGAAAGAAGGGCGAGTTTTATTAAAATATGACATAGTGAATACAATATAATTACCTGCTGAAGATCCGCCTGTTAGGAATGGATTTCCTCCAATTCCTATTGTTCCAGTAGAAGCACCGGCATCAGCGTTGGCATGTGCTGAACATTCAAGAGAAAGACGAGTTGTTACAATAGGCCACATCAATTCAATATAAAAGAGACATAACAATATATTTACCTGCTGAAGATCCGTCTGCTCCGAATGGATATTCTCCAACTCCTCTTGATCCAGCAGAAGCCCTGGCATCTGCGTTGGCGTGCGCTAGCCATTCAAGCGAAAGACGAGTTTCATTAAAATTCGCCACATAGATTGAATATAGAAGAGACAAAACAATATATTTACCTGCTGAAAATCCGTCTGTTAGGTATGGATATCCTCCAATTCCTCTTGTTCGGGAAGAAGCACTGGCATCAGCGTTGGCGTGCGCTAAACATTCAATAAAATGCCGAGTTTCATTAAATTACGCTACATCGATTGATTATAGAAAGCCAAAACAATATATTTACCTACTGAAGATCCATCTGCTCCGAATGGATATCCTCCAATTCCTCGTGTTCCGGTAGAAGCACTGGCATCAGCGTTGGCGTGCGCTAAATATGCAAGAGACAGCCGAGTTTATATGACAGGGACAAAACAATATATTTACCTGCTGAAGACCCATCTGCTCCGAATGGATATCCTCCAATTCCTCTTGTTCCGGYAGAAGCCYCGGCATCAGMGTTCGCGTGWGCTACGCATCGCATAGAAATACGAGTTTTATTAAAATACTCCACATCAATTCACTATGAAAGGGTCTAAACAATATATTTACCTGCTGAAGACCCATCTGCTCCGAATGGATATCCTCCAATTCCTCTTGTTCCGGTAGAAGCCTCGGCATCAGCGTTCGCGTGAGCTACGCATCGCATAGAAATACGAGTTTTATTAAAATACTCCACATCAATTCACTATGAAAGAGACAAAACAATATATTTACCTGCTGAAGACCCATCTGCTCCGAATGGATATCCTCCAATTCCTCTTGTTCCAGTAGAAGCTCCGGCATCAGCGTTCGCGTGAGCTACGCATCGCATAGAAATACGAGTTTCATTAAAACACGCTACATCGATTCAATATCGAAGAGACCAAACTTAACACAACAATATTTACCTGCTGAAGATCCGCCTGGAAAGACTGTATATCCTCCAAATCCTCCCAAGCCAGCAGAAGCAGTGGCATCAGCGTTGGCTTGTGCTACACATTGTAAAAAATGTTCCATTAACATATCCCGCATCGATTCAGTACCTACTATAGAGGCAAAATAATATGTTTACCAACTGAAGATCCGCCTGTTTGGAATGGATATCCTCCAAATCCTCCCGATCCAGCAGAAGCAGTGGAATCAGCATTAGCTTGCGCTGAAAAGCAAATTTTCACTTTCACTTTCACAGTTGTCACAACAAAGAAAAAAATAGTATTTACCTATTGAAGGCCCACCGTATAATGAATATCCTCCACCTGCTATTGATCCTGCAGAGGCGCTAGCACCAGCATTAGATTGTGCTATAGAGATAAAATAGTTTACTGAGTACAAAATTTAAGCAAACCGCTGCATTTGCTTAGTCACTTTATATTGAAAGTTTCAGATGATTAGTTTTCCTTGATATCGAGTGAAATTTAAAAACGGTTTTCCGTCGCAACTTCAAGATACTTAATATAAACGCACACAACTAATAACCAAAAATGTTGTTCTTTGGTTGTATTGCTGAGGTCTATTTAAAAAATTGTTACTTACCATATCCAATTCCAGGTCCACCGAATGGAGGTGGTGGTGGTAGTGGTGGTGGATGTCTATCACGTGTCCCTTCAAATCCCACAGAAATTCCAAATTTTCCTGGGAAGAGTATACCACCTAAAAGCAAATATTTGATTTGAGCTTCACAATTAGCGGTACCAATCATCTAATAAGTTCTACCTTCTGCTGAAGCACCAGCGTTAGCCTTGGTGACCGAGCTACCGGTCAATCCTCCAACTGCAACGTTGGCATTTGCGTTAGATATTGCTCCAGCAAGTAGCGGAAAAGGTAATGTAGCTCGGTTGACTCTAGGGCTATGGTAAACTGGATCTAATTCCAGCAAGAATTCCCCATCGTGCCCTAGTTCATGATCGTCTAAAATTGTTTTTATCTCTCTTTTATATACATGGAAAACTGTTAAGTTCGACTTATACCGGGTGTCAATTTGAAAACTTCCAACCCTTAATATCTCTCTTGCAGTTGAAAATATAAAAAATCCGAAAGACCCGTCAATTTTATTTGTAAAGGGGGCACTTTAAATTAATATTTTTAGCCTCCTTGTTTCAACCCCCTAGAACGGGTAGATGTCTCCCTTAGAATCTTAAATGGGAAGGCGGTCATTTTCGAACCCTTCCTAACATTGATAAGATATTCCCGGATAGATCCATTGGCAGAAGGGGACCAATGGCCTCCAAGATCACCTGATTGAACACTCTTAGACTTCTTTCTTTGGGGTAGGCCTGGGTGAGACTGAGGGTGTTGAGTTGCGCTTTTGAGTTGTTGCCGCTCTCTGAATTAATGAATTTTGATTCATTCGTTAATGAGTTATGACCGATGACGGAATTTTTACTTTGATTATTGCTTGAAACTATGTCGTCTAAAATGGGGGAAAATCCGGAAATTTTGAAGAAACTTTAAAAATTTCAGAGCGATGAGGCTGATTTCTCTGGTCATTTTTTGAGGAAGGAAATTTTGTCGAAAAAAAACAAGATAACTTTGTTCCGATTTTGTCCCAAAATCAAGGGTAAAACGGGTATTCAAAAAAGACGTTAAAGAAAACCAAACTGTAAAGACGATGACTTTTCTTGTAAAATCCATCTTTTAATTTTTTTGCATAAAATACTCTCAGTTTGCCAGTATTTTACAGTAAAACGTTAGAAAAAACGCGTTGTTCTGTTTAGAGAGAGTTTTGTTTAGAAATATTAACCTATAAGTAAAGAAACCGGAATGTAAATATTCTATATATATAAAACTAAGTTACTCACAGCGGCAAAAGTGACGAGTTTTCCGAATAATTAATTATAAACTTTCACTTGTTCTGTTCGGGAAAATATTTTTGGGAAAAAGTCATTAGGGTTTTGTACAAAACGCTAATTTTAGGTTCCCGAAAAAAATTTACAAAGCTGTTCAGGAGCCGATTGTCAGTATTTTAAGTAGAACTAAAAATAATAATACGTTTTTTGCGTAGCAATAATTGCTTAATAGAAACTTTGCTAAAACTGGAATGACCTGAAATTTTAAAGAAACTTGAAAAATCTTCAGAGCGACGAAGGTGGCGAATTTTCCAAATATTTTTTTGGAGACTTGCTCTCTGGTCATTTTCTCAAGATAATATTAATTGCTTTCGGTAAGAGACTGAATAAAAATATTTGGGTTTTGTGCCGAATTCGAAGCTGAAAAGGGCTTTCTAAAGTTCTCAGCAAATCGATGAATGCGGCGAATTTTCTAGGAAAATCAATTTTGCAATTTTTGGTAATATACATTATTGTCAGAAAATAAGAAAATCATCAGAAAAGCATATTTTTTGCGTTTTTGTAAAATTCCTACAAAGCTATAAGTATATATTGTAATTTTACGCGTAAAATACATCCAAATCGTCAGTATTTTTGAAGTAAAACTCTACAAAATAGAGCGTTTTTGGAGTAGAAAGCAAACCAAAAAAACTAAGTTAAAACTAAAAAAGCACATTTTTTTAACAAAAACAGTCGTCAGAGAAATGGTGGCGAGTGGCTAGTAAAATTTATTTTATAATTTTTAGCGAAAAATACTTTAAGACTGTCAGAATTTCTAAGTAGATTTTTTGAAAATTTGAGTATTTAGAAAAAGAGTAACTTTGCTAAAACTGAAAAATTCTGAAATTTTGAAAAAATGTTAAAAATATTATTGATAAATGGCCCTTAAGATAAATCTAAAAACAAATAAGCAAAAAAGTAATAACTAATGTAAAGAGAATTGAACGGCGTTTAAAACGATGTGCCACTTGACCCCCCTTCCCATTTAAGGTTCTTAGGGTGACACACACCCCTCCTAAGGCGTTGAGACAAGGAGGCTAAAAATATTCATTTAGTCCCCCTTACAAATAAAATTGACGGGTCTTTCCGATTTTCCATATTTTCAACCGCAAGAAAGATATTAAGGGTGGAAAGTTTTCAAATTGACACACTGTATCATATATGCGCTTATATTTTTACATTTTAAGCATAAATTGTTAATCTAAATGGGCAAACGCAAAATCATAAAATCCCATTATGTTTTAATATAACCAACGGTTAACTTTACTCCTCTCTACTCTCCTGGCGATGTTGAGTAAAGCAATTTCTTACTTTATTACTTAGTCATAATTTCAGGTCTGTAATTTAATGTCCTGAAACTATGCACAATATCTTGGATTCAACATTTAAGTTGAACCGACTGTAGAACTTGGAGGTCCATAAGGCGATTGATTATTTGTATGTTCATACTCACGTTCATCTTAATTACGAATTTAATCCTGTTTTTCGAGACTTGGGTGTCGTCCAAGCCGGATAATCAATTGGATTAGTTTCAAATTTAAGGAAATGTATTTTCTCGTAATCCTATTAGAAATTTTTGCTTGGGATAGATTTTCCGTATACTGTTTTAATTGTTTTCAAGTGGTTAGCTTGATCGACTGTATTATACTTCTTGAACTCGTACCGTATCAGTTTATTCAGTTCAGCCTAAGTAGCGTTGCTTGTTCTGTTTTCATTGTGCTAGAGTATACAGTCTTTTTCATTCAGAAATCCGTTTCTCTTTGCTTTGACAAAAAACTTCGTGTCTTGGAATGAATGTATTATTATCATAATTTATTTGTAACATTCCCACAAAACAAGGAAATATATAGAAAGGAAAGCAGATTTTGCTATTTTAATTTCCCTCGATAACTATTTCCAGCCCACTAAGTAATGTTGAATCGTTGTGGAATTTATTTTAATGTTTCCGCGCAAACTTGAGTCCTTAGATTTGCCTAATTCATTATGACAATTTACTCTGGTCTGGCTAAAGGATTCTAAGTGTTTTGTGTGAGTTTTGTTGAATGTTTGCGTTCCTTATTATTGTATATTTCTTAGAGACCTTAAAGATTACCTAATTACCAAAACTGCCTAACCAATTTTGATGGCTTTTAACATTCAAGATATGGATTGAACAATAATTATGTCTATATATTGTTCTAAATATCATAAACTATAAAAGTTAGTTTAGGAAAAGCGCCTAGTAGAAATACATTTGAACTCACTGCATAATAATGAGGCGCAAGCCAATATGCATGTTTCTTGCATTCTATGTATAAACTTTCGAACTCAAAACAATTAAGGAGTTAAAACTTTAATTTTTATTTTAAGTAACTAAATGTATTTCCGCTATATACGAATTACTATTTATAAAAAATCCAAATTAAAAGTATAATTTTTAGATTTTTGTAATAAGCTTTGTCAGAAGATTGTACTCACGCTCAAAAGTGCTCGCACTGCATACATATAAAACAGCACAGAAAAGAACACAAACACTTTGATGAAACATTGTTAAACTTATAATATTACATGCATTTAACACTTATAATATATACCAAAACGTTAAGTACATATCCCCTCTACTAAAAGAAGAGCATGTTTATTTTAGCTATTAAATCGTAGTGAAGTACCAAAATGTACAACTAAGCTCATATGACGAAAAAACATTAAACAATCAAAAACCTGATTGATGACAACAAGGTAAATGACAACCATTATTTTTACACGTTAATAATATGTTGGTTTGGGAATTTTTTTAAATTAACAGCTTATCTGGGATTTCTTATGGGATACCTGTATACGAGGGTCGTTTGATAACTTAGTGATTTTTTTAATTTCCCGAGCAGTAACTTTAAATTCAACACTCATTGAAGAGGTCATCATTGAAACAAAAGCATATTTTGAGGACCTCGAGAAATTATTTATTTCAGAAGGATAAAAAAATTGGCAAGACGCTGGATTAAGTGTATCGAACTAAAAGGAGATTATGTTGAGAAATAAAATGTTTTTTGACCGAAAAAAAATTCTCATTCAAAAGTCACTGACTTATTAAACGACCCTCGTACATTGATTTTTATCGTTAGCCACTGCAGTTAGTTAATATGGTAATTAAATTAATTAAAGGAAATAAACTAGAATAGTAAGTTTTCTTTGCCTAAAATGTTTTTAATAGAAATTTAATTATTTATTAATGTCAAATGATAACGAAGTTGATGGCAAAAAATTTCAAGATCACTACTCAAGTGGTAGTTTAAAAATTAAATATTCGTTTCTTCGAGAGACGCCGCAATAATTGTAGAACAAGAAAATATTCAATAATTCAACAATAACACTACTTGTATAAAAATGTGTATATCAGAAGAAATAATTTTAAATGTCCTATTAAGTTCTCGTTCAAAAGAAACTGCCAAAAACCGTAATCTTATATTATAGCATTTATTAATGGGAAATACCAGTTTACCTGGTAGAAACAGGTAGCGTCTCATATTTCATGTATTGGTCTTTCCAATAATAAAGAATTTTATTTACAGAAGGTGATAATTCATGTCGATTCTCGTACGTTATTTGGAAAATTCTCTCAGCAGCTGTGTGAAAACCAATAAGTATCATATCGATAAAAATCTGAATATGAAAAATGCTGATGCTTCAAATTCCATTTCTTTCAAATTACATTAATTTACTTTTGCGATCAAAGGAACAATTGGACTCCTGGATAGAATCAACGGAACACTCAAACATGATCTGATGTAAAATTTTAAACAAATGTCCTACATTTCTTTGTTAACACGCGAAATATGAATATTTTAAATTTAACATTACTTTAAATATGGTTTGAAGATCACTTATTATCTTCTTTTGGATATATTATACAGGAAAGTCAACAAATTTGTCCCTTGTTGCAGTAAACGCACTGTATAATTCTGATTAAATTATTACCACATCGCCTATTACATCTAACGAAAAACCAAAATCGAACTATATGTAAATATAGTAGTTTATACTGACAATTTAACATTATACGGCCAATGTCAAGTTTAATCTGCACGTTGCTCACATATTTTACTTTCGTCTGGTATAGTTTTTCCCTCAACTTCGTTGAAAGTTACCTTGTAACATATATATCATGGGTAACTTTTCTTTTGATCTTATTAAGCTCATTTAAGGTCGAGTAGGCTCGAACCGAAAAATTGGCCCAGCCAAGGTTTATCTGTACATATATGTAAACCTGATTGATTAATGTTATTCCTATAATTATAAATAATGTTCTTAAACACCTATAAAATATATACCAGTTGAAGTATTTTCGGTTTAGTCAGCTAGAAACAGGATGATAAAATCAACCGGATATCGGAGATGATTTTATATTAACATATGAATGATATTATAAACTTGTCACCAGGTGTGCCGCCAAAAACCATACACATATAAATTGATGATATAAGAAATTGTTACCTAACTTTTCTTAATTGGATTCCCATTTGTTAGATTTTACCTGATTAAAAAAATCAAATGAATCTAATTTATTAAAAAGGATATAAAACTGTGTGTTTATATTTTATTTTGAATTTTTGCTTTTGTATTATATTTAGGCATATATACATTTATGTTTTTTCCACAACCCATGTTTATAACTTACGCAATTTATATAGAATATTCTTTATAGATATATTTTAACGTATCTAACTACAAAGTATTTTAGAGTATTTATTCGAAGACTTTATCTTTCATGAGGAAGTAAACAAAAATTTCTTGTTAGAAAATGCGTATATTAAGGAAAACCACTGAGAAAATTTCAATAGAATAAGAACAACTAGAGCCTTTGAAATATAAAAAAATAATTTTGTTACTAGATAAATTCATAAACAATTAAAATCATTATATTTAACACTAAATACATCAAAAAATCTCAATTGAATTCGAGTAGAAAAAATCAAATTTGAAACATAAAGGGTTTGAAAAATTTTGCCAATCATGAATTCAATCCCCTTTACCTAAATCTAAACTACTCAGAACCTGTTTTTAAAATGTTTTTGACCTTTCCGTTAATTTTGAATGTTGCTTAATATTGGGAATCGGATCGAAATAATATGCCGTCAGGTATTGCACCTGGCAACGTTCCGGATATTTATTTCATCATCACCATTTGATATATGGCTAACATTCCATCAAGTATTTGAATTTAACATAGACATATCGAACACAAATAAATTAAATTGGAATTTAGAAAACAGTAATATTTGACGGACAAAATTTAAAATACAATAAAAAAATTAACACGAACTTTTACATATCTAGAACCTGTATATTGGAACGTTGTATACCTATATTGAAGTTAGATCAATTCTATCTAGATAATGCATATCAGTTATATGAAGATTGCCAATTAATTGTTATTAAACACACCTTTATATGGAAAATATAAATACAATTTAAAATAATAAGGATGTCAAAAAGTTTGTTACAACTGCTTACATAAAATGCGGAACGCGCAACCGACGTTTCCTACACACGAAGCACCTGTAAAGTGTTTTCTTGCATTAAAATATTTTTTTTTAACAATCGTTGTTTTTAACAATCGAAATTCGCACGAACTAACTAATTTGCACCATAGAATTCGTAAATTCTACCCGGAACTGACTTAAACTTCAAAAAATAAATTCACACTATTCATGGAAATCAATATACATTTCTTAAACGGCAAGTGATAATTCCTAAAACAAGGTCCAAAGTGCAAAACTCATAACCGTTAATTTCAGCTTCAAATCTTAAGATGTTTTTGTCTCGATTTGAATATCAATTCGATTAATTAATCCTAAAAGTGTCTACCTGATGGCCAACATGTATCGCTGTCTTTTTTTGGTTTTTTCCTTTTTTTGTATCTGTCGGATATTATTTAATTCTCCATTTTGTGTTGAGAATTATAAGATAAGCTATGAAGAAAAGTATCCAAAAGCAATACCCAAAGCAAAGATTTGAGAATAAAAAATGTAAAATAAATGTAGTCCTATGATTCACAGTTTTTTAGCGGAAAAGTGATGAATTTTTGTTTTGAATCGGTTTTTGTTTGTGGTACATATTTGCTAATAGTTTATCATAAAATATTTTAGTACTGAGTATTTTACTTTTTATGGAGAACATTTTTTAGGCAAAAATGCTTATTATTTAACTTCAAAATGCACTAATGATATAGTAATTTACAATTGACATGTTACAATAATAGTCACTTATCCACCTGTGAATCTTTTTTGGAATTAAATCGTCTTTTGCGCTTGCAAACTCTAGTATTTTCTGTCGGAAAATATTCTCAATCCAAAAATAAGTACTTAACTCAAACATTAAGGGTACAAAATTGTCAAATAAAATTGGATAATTATCCAAAACGGTCTGGTGAATGTTCAGACCATGTTCAGGTGTTTGCAGTATTTAAAAGATACATATTTAACCAATTTAGTTAT